TTAAAGTGCTGAGATAAATAGTAAGTCATGGGAGACTTCTTGATTTTGATAAACATTTACAGTTTTAAGAAGACCTTAATCAGTGACAATCTTGATAGCAGTATATATCTTAAGAGAATCACAAGTTAGTTATGTTTCAGATCTAGTTTGATACTTAATTATACTGCTTATCTTCCCTGAAACATTTCACAGTAATACAGTTATAAAATGCGGTTTCCACTAGAATGAAAGGTTGACCCAGGGAATACTGAGAAAACCTACTTCAATTAATTCTCAAATGCTATTGGAATGTGTCACATGGAGCAGCCAATTGCTTGATATGTCCCAGCCCAGCACAGGCCACTCCTAATTAGCTGGCATGACCCTGCAAGCATGACCAATGGCCTGTCCATTCACATGCCCTGCATCATTAAGAACACAGAGATAATTGTTCATTGCTGTGCAAGGTATTTGCAGCAACTCCTAGCAGCATAACTGAGGAGAAATAAATTCTTTCAGACTGGTTTCTAAAGTTGCTCTAGAGTGACTGGATGCATTTTCAGTTTTAGGACTTTGTTAACTGTTATTTAGATAAAAAATTGACTTAACCACTTTTAATGAGTTCCACTGTGTGTGGGAAAAAAAGAAACAATAGTTCTGTAGCTGTGAGAGAAGAGATGAATTATTATTTTTTTTCTCACCAGCAGCCTTTTGGCCTATTCCTTTTTCTTTTCTCAGTGACACTTCTTGCCTGGGGCAGCTCTGATGGAGAGTATAGTGCAAGAGTGGTAGGCAGAGAGTGACTCCTCTCTAGAGTTCAGGCCCTGGGATCTTAAGCAACATCAGCCAAACTCCATAGTCTCAGGGTTTATCCCTGCCTAGGAGAAGCAGTAATGCTTTCTACGCTGACTGGGAGACAACAGATCTCTGTATCTATAGCGAGGAGTTCATTCTTCCTTCATTATCCATCCATTGCTTGTTCTATACAGAAGAAGGCATGTACAGAATATTTGTATGAAATAGAGGCTAAACCTGATGTCTCCATAGAGAAGTGTTAGAAGAAAGAATAGTGTCTCCTTTTCCTCCCAGCACTGTGCAGGCAATGCAACAGAGCTTCCAGGCCAGCATTACAACAAACAAAATCATAAGGTATTGTACTAAGTCTACATATGTTGCTTCTGATGGTCACAATGCAAAGTTTGGCTTAATAAAGCTTAAAGGTACTTGGAAAGGAGGAAAAGAAGATCAGAAAGAAAATACTGAATGTAAGTGACAAAAAGATAAAGATATTTCTCATATCCTTGGATCTCTCTGGGCAGCTGCTGGAGCTTATTTCTGAGGGGAATATTCAAAGCCTTAACACTGGAGGCTGTGACGAACAGGGAAATTCTTGGATATGTAGAGTCATTATTTATTCCACAGCTCATAGAATCATAGTAGGGCCTGGATTGAAAAGAACCACAGTGATCATCTCGTTTCAACCCCCCTGCTATGTGTATGGTCACCAACCACCAGACCAGGCTCCCCAGAGCCACATCTGGCCTGGCCTTGAATGCCTCCAGGGATGGAGCATCCATTAGCTCCTTGGGCAACCTGTTCCAGTGTGTCACCACCTTCTGTGTGAAAAAATTCTTCCTAATATCTACCATAAACCTCCCCTGTCACAGTTTAAGACCATTTCCCCTTGTCCTATCCACCCTTATAAGCAGCTGATCCCAATCCTGTTTTTTCTTCCAGTACTTCAAGTACTGGAAGGCCACAATGAGGTCTCCCCAGTGCCTTCTCTTCTCCAAGTTAAACAAGCCCTTTCCTTTCCTCATAGGAGTAGTGTTAGTCCTGTTGTTGCTGGCAACCAATAGGAGTAGCTTCTTCCATCAGTGGAAAGGGGTGTTAAGACGGGAGTTGGGAAGATACATAGAAAGATAGAGTTTTAAACTTGATGCGAAGGGGGGTGGGGGTGTAACTGGGGTCACTAGAATGGAGCCTTTATGTAACATCCCAGTCCTTATAGGAGAGGGATGTGCTAGTAAGACCCAACAGTCTTGTGTTTTGGTGATGGAGGAGGATGACTCACCCTTTTGTAGGAAGAACACAAGGGTTGGTGTGATGTTGTATGGTCATGAGGGTATTAGGGCTACTGCCACTCAAAAGGAGGCCCGACGCAGGTGCCTTTACACTAATGCATGCAGCATGGGTAATAAACAGGAGGAGCTGGAGGCCGTTGTGCAGTCGGAAAGCTATGATGTAGTTGTCATCATGGAAATGTGGTGGAATGACTCACACAGCTGGAGTGCTGTGGTGGATGGCTACTGACTTTTCGAAAAAGATAGGCAAGGCAGGAAAGGTGGTGGCATAGCCCTCTCTGTTAAGAAAGAATGTGAATGTATGGAAAACAATGATGGTGATGATAGGGCTGAGAGCTTCTGAGTCAGAATAAAAATGAAGGCCAATAGAACTGATATTATCATGGGAGTCTGCTGCAGGCCACCCAACCAGGATGAAGAGGTGGACAAGACACTCTATAGACAGTTGGGTGAGGTCTCAAGGTCTCTCCCTTATTCTTGTGAGGAGCTTCAACTTCCCAGACATCTGTTGGATTTACAATACAGCAGATAGGGAGCAATCCCAGAGGTTCCTAGAGTGTGTGGGAGATAACTTCCTGACATAGCTGGTGAAAGATCTAACAAGAAGAAGTCAATTCCTGGACCTGCCATTTGTTAACAGAGAAGGTCTTGTGGGGGGTGTAAAGGCTGGAAGCAGTCTGGGGCTTAGTGATCATGGCATGCTATATTTCTTGACCCTTGAACCACAGAGGGGAGTCAGCAGAACTGCCACCTTGGACTTCCAAAGGGCAGACTTTAACCTCTTTAGGACCATGGTTGAGAAGATCCCTTGGGAGGTAGTTTTGGAGAGCATGGGAGCCCAGGAAGGTTGGGGATACTTTAAGGAAGTAATTTTAAAGGTGCAGGAGCTGACCATCCCCAGGTCACAGAAGATGAGCCAACAGGCAAGGAAGCCAGACTGTCTGAACAGAGACCTTTGGCTGGAACTCAAGACCAAAAGGAAAGTTTATGGTCTCTGGAAGAGTGGGTGAGCTACTTTTGATGATTACAGGTACGTAGTGAAGCTGTGCAGGGAGAAAATTAGAAAAGCCAAGAACTGAACTTGGCCACTAAGGTAAAGGACAACAATAAATATTTCTTTAAATATATCAACAGTGAGAGGAGGGCTAGGGAGAATCTCCATTCATTGTTGGACGCCAAGGGAACTTCATGACCAAGGATCAGGATAAGGCTGAGGTGCTTAATGCCTTCTTTGCCTCAATCTTTGATAATAAGACTTGTTACTCCCTGGGTGAAACACTGGCTGAATGGTCGGGTCCAAAGAGTTGTGGTCAATGGACTTAAATCCAGTTGATGGCCAGTCATGAGTGGTGTCCCCTGGGCTCGGTACTGGGGCTGCTTCTGTTTAACTTCTTTAGTAACGATCTTGATGAGGGCACTGATTGCATGCTAAGTAAATTTGTTTGAGTCACCATCCCTGGATGTGTTTAAAAACTGTTTGGATATAGTGCTCAGGGACATGATTTAGTGGAGGGTTGCTCGTTAGGGTAGTTTGGTTAGGCTGTGGTTGGACTCGATGATCTTTAAGGTCTTTTCCAACTTGAATGATTCTATGATTCTATAATCTGCGCCTTATCTTTCCTAATCCTATCTCTACACACATGGACAATAGCCATGTATTCCTACAATCAGTTCCATCTACCAGTTCCTTATGATTTTTCACGTCTTTCAACCAAAAGAAGCTGTGTTTAAAAAAGGGAGGGGAGATTTTTGTTTGTTTGCTTTAAAAGCTTTCATATACTTGCCACCTGCCTCAGGCAGTATTTTAAGTTTGGTTTGTTTCTGTTATTGTTGTGATGTTGTTTCTTTTTTACCTTTGTCATAGGCAGCTTTTGTTTTTTCCCAGTCTTACAACCAAACTACCACAAATAATTTACTCAGTCTTTAGCTTTCCAGACTTTAATTGCTGATGTTAGCAATGCACTGCTCTTGTATTAGATTACATTTTGATTAGATCTGATGCCTGTACTTTTTTCTTAATTTTTGTATTGTGTTTTGAAGGCTGGTATAATTAGTTCAGTAGCAATCAGATGTGAAAAGTTGAAACACCCACTCAGTCAAGCTGAAAAAAAAAACCTGTCTCGGACAATGCAGGCTATGCATGTTGAGTTTTTATTGTGATGGTGGTGATTTCCTTTTTTTTTTTTTTTTGTTCTTTTTTGCAGGATTTTTTTCAGTGTACCCTGAGAATAGTATTCTGTTTTTTTAATGTTAGTTTCTGATCTCTCCCGTGTAGCTGGAGCACTGGGAAAGGTCTGTAGAACAAACTATGTTTATTCTAATTAATTGTGTATAGCCAGATTTTCCTACTTAGCTGCTGGTTTACGGAACTACATCTGTAGGTCCACTTTGAGAAGATCATGAGCACTATCCCAAAGACAACTCATTTCATGATTAGAATTAATATTACTCTATATTAAGTCTTTTAACAGGTATTTGTTTTTTCTCTAACCTCACTTGCATCTGAAAAGAAGTGAATTTTTCTGGAAGTCATTCAGATTGTTCTAAGAGAAAACAAACAAATGAGCACACAGCAAGCAATCTGCTGCAATTAATATGAAAGCTGTCAGGAGGGTATATCTTAATAAGATCAAACTGACGATGCTGTTCCAGGGTTGAACTTAAGGTTTCAGCTCCACAGAAGAAAATGACATTTATGCTGATTATCAATTCCATTTCAACGACAGCCTTCATTTAGGAAAGATGAGTTTATTTATTTTGTAGATAGATGAGAAATAAAACCTGTTTTTTCCTTGAAGAAGCTGCTCAAGACTTTAAATTATGGTGGCTGAAATATTAGGGAAAAATAGAAAGCTTACAGCAAACACCGACCAGCTGCTTCTGCTGTATATTTAATATGTACCATTCTATTAGATTGGTTTATTAATATATCTGCAGGTATCTTGCAACAGGGGCCAGATGGTTCGGGAAATGGAAAATGGCATAAAAGAATTGCAAGTAACAATCTACTGAAGATCAGAAATAGCCACGTTACGTTGCCTTCTGAAGTCTATACAGCAACCAGTTTAAATGAACCTGGAGAGCGGGTCTCACTTCAGCAACCAGTCTTGTAACATCAAATTCCATAAGCATTTCTTCCATATGACAAGAAGAAACAAAATACATAAAGCTGCAGACAGGTAATGAGCTCTCTGAGAATTTCTGTATATGGGAGTGGATCGGGGTCCACAAGCTGTGCTCTGAAACAGAACCATGGCCATCCCAAATACCAAGGGGCATACTGAACAACTGCCAGGGGACCACAGCCTAAACTGATCTGTACACACAGTAATACAGTAGGCTGCATATTGAAATTTACATGATTGATTCTATGGTCCTGAACTATAAACTGAAGTGAAAACATAGGCAACAAATGTTAGGAAAAAGCAAATGCAAGGCTTTGTGCCTGCTTGTATTTTTATTTTCTAAAAGTTTAGTAGCTTGTTGTTTTGAATTTATGAGCTATAAAAATTGGCATTATTAGGCGACAGCAGACAAAAATGTGAGAAGTTGTGGTGCTGCAGCCTTAATAAAGCTGATATAAAAATAAGTTATACAGGTGCAATACAAACCTGATCCTATTTTCTCTGTTTGATGAGGCTGTAAAGAATAACTGTAGCATTTATTATATGCCCAAAAATGCAAAAAAAAACCTACCTTTTTTAATGGTCAGAGAATGCTGTAGGTATATTTGTCCAGAAACCTCACCTGTGTATTGCTATTACCTGGTCATTCAGATAAGATGACATGGTCATAATACGCCTTATGGAAGATGCCTTGCATAACTCCTGGTCTCAAACATCAAAAATAGAATTAATGAGCTTGGAAAAGCTGTTGAGGGTGGTCCATGAATGTACCCATGACACCAAAACACCAATTTCCCTGATCAACTTTTACATGGGCAAATAAACAGGACAAGGGGAAATAGTTTTAAAACAGAAGAAGGAAGTTCTTTACTCAGATAGGCACTGGAACAAGTTGCACAGAGAAGCTCCTTCCCTAGAGGGGCCAGGCTGGATAGGGCCCTGGGCTGCCTGATCTGATGGGTGACATATCTGCCCACAGGAGGGAGGTTGGAATCAGAAGGTCACAGAATCAAAGAATTGTAGGGGTTAAAAGTGACCTCTTGAAATCATTGAGTCCATCTCTCCTTACAACCCAAACTGTTCTATGATTCTGCAATCATTATAAGTTTATCTGTACCTTGCAGCTGAGTTTTAATAATTCTATCTGATGGCCATTTAGAACAGTGGCCTGTTGCTGAACCTCAAATATGAATAATTCCCCAGGCTCTCTTCTCAGGGCATCTGTTGAAATTTAAGCTCCTCATCCTTGAATGCTAATGGATATGGATGTCAAAATAAGTATGGAGACTCTTTCCACTAATTACCGTTTCGGGATTTGTCCACATGCTGGTGCTTAGTGTCTTGATTTTTTTGGTTGCTCTTGTTTTTTTGTTTGTTTGTGTTTGTTTTTTTTTTTTGTTTTTTGTTTTTGTTTTAATTATAGTTTGTTTGCTAAGTTATTGCTCATGCATTTTTTCTGCTAGCCCTGTAGATGACACTGAAGCTAGAAAATCCTGAGATTTCAAACTGCAGCAGGGAAAAGGCTGGATGTTGAGTAAATACAAAGCTGAAAGGAAGAAAATGAAACTGCCTCTGCTACAAAATTGTAATTGTCGAGAATAAATCTGTAAAAGCACATCAGCCTTGCACTGTGAAAATACTGACATCATCCTCTAATACAGTTAGAGAAATTCTGGAGACCATATTAGAAAATCAGAAAACAGCATCAAGAAATATTCTTCTTAATAAGGTCCAGTACAAGAATAATTAATTAGTTCATTTTCTCTTTCACATCAGGGGTCTTTGACACAAAAATAAAGAAATCCAAAAGAACACTCTTAACTAGGTAACTGTGAAACCAGGTAGATGAAAGGCCATGGTCAAAAGTCAGCTGATGTATAGTTGTAAAGCAGATGATGTTAAACATAGAAACAAAGGCTAGGTCCTTAACTGATTCAAATAGATTTATCTCCATTGCTTCCTTGAGCCTATAGCATTTTACATTCGCTGAGGGTTTGATTCAGTATAATGAGTACAAATATCTATAAAAATAAATCAGTTAGAAACTGTAAAAAATTAAGGCACTTCTTATGTAATGCTTTTAAAATCTCAATTATTCCATGGAATAAGATAATTATTTGACAGGAAAGTACAACTTTATTAGTATAGATTAAAAGTTTAGTTGTTAAAGTTATTGCTAACAGGACTAGACAGTAAGAACTCTGTTGTGAAACATAAGCTGAAAGACTTTGGAAGGTAAAAGTAGTTATTTAAAGTCCATGATTACATCCTCTTGTAAGAATTTAGATAGAAGAATCAGATTTACAGTATTTAACCTAAATTCAACAAAAAAATATTTCTACTATGCATTGACTTCTAACTTGATCTGCACAAGGAAACAAATAGCTACAATATCTAAAAATAATTAACTATTGCATATATATGCCATGCTCTTCAGCTGTGAGAAGTTGACAGAAGTTGTCAGAATTTGAGTTACATATGAAATATCACGGAAAAAAAAAAAAACAAAAATAATAGAGCAAGAAGGTCCTTAGTTAAAATTGAGTATATTTGCTTATAGTATACTCAAGGTGAGGTTTAAATCAAATGTTTTGCTCAGGGAATAACATATTCAACTTCATAAATTAATCATAAGTTCATTTTGTAAATGCTGCAGCTGTCCTTCATTCGTGCTAGGTATCCTACATACAGAGAGTTCTGCAGCTGTCTATGTAATGTCCTTCAGCTGGGGGAAGATGGCCACTTTTTTCTCATCTGTTAGCAACTTTTGATCATTTACTTCAGTTTCCCTTAACAATTTTTAAGGAAAGCCTGTGATGTCGTTTAACTTTCCACCCCTCTTTTCTCTCTTGGTATCAATTATCACACACCTCTTTTAATCTGTCCCCAAAATCACTCTTGCTTTTTTCGATATATCTCTTCACTATTCACACATGGCATTACTTCATTCTCTCCCTCATGAGTTACTCAGTCACTTCTAATGCATGAGAGGAAAAAAGGCTTTTCACGCTGCCTGCTGTTATATGCATTTAAGGGACTATATCCACGGCAGAGAATAAAAACTATGTTTGGGGCAATTAAATTTACTAGTGAAGCATAGAGTTGTCCTGACTGCAGGGCCACGTGGCCACAATCCTGAGAGCTGAGAAAATCTTATCATTCGCTGGAGCCATGGGGAGCTGAGAGGCTCTGAATGCTTTGCAGGAGCATACCATGAAATTTATGGAGAAGCCAAAGAATATATAAATATTACATATAAATATTCTTTGGCTGACTTCATGTAACATTCCTGTTGTCTTTTAGGGGCCTATAGATTTTATGATGCTGCCTTTTTCAGTGCAGTACCAGTGGAAACATATGGAGAGGAGAGCTTTGGCAAAGCGTGAGTTGATAGAGAAAAATGAGAAAAGTGAGGCCTAGCTTTAACTAATTCCTCTGATGCCCCCACCTAGCTTTGCCACTGGCTACATCAATGTATTGCCGTGTTCTTCAGTCATGAACAGTTAAGCCAAACGATTGTAACTATGGCAGTAGAAGTGCTATAAATGCAAACAAACATGCTAATAATCCTACCCATTTTTTGGTAAGTAGTCTGAAGTAAAGCCATGCTCAGGTGATTAGTCATTATGCAAATAAGTGGAATCGCATCTCAAAGTGCCATATCATTTTGTAGTCTGAATTTGTTAATAAGCTAATCACTGTGCATAATAAAAAGGATTCTTAAGGTATTTACACATGCACAATAGATGACTTTCAATCTTTTATCAACTTGGCTGCAATAAAGAAAATCAATTAAATGAAATAAAATGCCCTGTTCAGTACTATGGATTAGTAGTAGCTTGCAGTTTTCATTAAAATAAAAATCTTCTAAGAAGAAAATCCTAAACTGATAGACTTCAGGGATTTTTATTTATTTATTTATTTATTTTTTGTCTTAACTAACAGGCTTACATATTTTCAAATATTTCAGTTAATTTAAATGTTCCACTTGTGTGTTCCTCTTCCTGTCTATCACTGTCTTCACTAAATAAAAGATTCACGTGCTAACAGAATAAAACTGTAATCCCTTGTTACACTGAATTCTTGAAAATGTAGAAAAGCAAGAGACATTTTGATAATGAGCAACATGATTCTAGTGCAGTAGAATTTGTTCAGAAGTAGTTAGTTCCTACCAGACAGCTGCTCCAAACCACCTACCCACTAAAATTCTGCTTTACCTTCCTTCTAAAAAGTTACATAAATTATTCCATCCAAATGAAAAGAAGCTGAAACATATATTCATTGAAATCATTCTACATTTTTCATCACCCTCTCCCTCACTATGTGTTGGTGACAAACAATGGACAAATAGTATCCAGTGTATCTCTGCATCCAAAATATTAAATCCTAGAATCATAAAATGGCCTGAGTTGGAAGGGACCCCAAGGACCATCGAGTTCCATCCCCCGTGCCACAGGCAGGACCACCAATCTCCAGATCTGGTACTAGACCAGGTTGCCAAGGGCCGCATCCATACTGGTCTTAAACACCCTCAGGGATGGAACATCCACAGCCTCTCTGGGCAGCCTGTCCAGCACCTCACCGATCTGTCTATAAAGAACTTTCCCGCGACATCCAATCTAAACCTTCCCTTCTTGAGTTTAAAACCATTCCACCTTAGCCTATCACTGTTTACCTTTGTAAAAAGTTGACTCCCCTTCTTCATATCATCCCTTTTTAAAGACTGGATGGTTGCAATTAGTTCGCTTCTCAGCCTTAAATCTCATTATGTATTCAATAATAGTAATAGTTTAGATTTTTCCATTTTGAGGAGGAAGGAACTGGAGGAGCTAAAGGCACAGAAAAACAGTGTGTGAGGGTCATTCCTCTATAGCCACTCCTTCAGTCATCCACACATTAAAAGAAAGATACTGCACATTGATATCCATCACACGTGCAGGAAGATTCACACCTAGCATGCATAGTCACAGATTTCAGAGCTGTCTTTTAGAGGTCAAACCAAGGTGATCCTGAAAAGACATTCATTGCAATAGTCTAGACAAATAAATATCCTGCTAGTTTATGCAAATGTTACAGAAATCCTGCTGAAAATGAAGGCTGAATTTTTGAAAAGAAAGACTTGGTATCTAAATTTGCTACTAAACGTCCTCAGATGACCTTACATGCTGATTTAATTCTCTCGTTGATTCCCATAGAAATAGGCAGAAGTTTATCTGTTGCATGCATGTTTGGGCATGAACCTGCCCATCCACACTCAGTGAATGTCCACTGATTTTTTTTTCTGTAGCATAACAGTGCAGGAACATGAAAGACAGTGCATGTGCAGCTTCATGCTGGAATAGCCTACTGATATTTTCTTCTCAGTAAATTTCACTCAACAGTTTCAAGAGTGCATTATGCTTCTCTGTTCATTTAGCATGCAAAATCTTGTCTATGTTACGATATTCACCAAGGCAGGCTAACAGCAATATTAAACTCCTGAAAGAGTTAGTATTCCTTGGGGGCATAAAAGCCAATTTCCACTCAAGGCAACAGAAATTTTACTAGCAATTTCTCTGGGTTTGACATTAAAATGCACATATATTGTATCCACAGAATCATGTTGGATCAAACATCACAGCCATCCAAAGAGTTGCTTCTAAGAGCTGATGCCATAACTGATAGATTCTTATTAACTACAGTTTGTGTATGTAATATTGAGAATAAAATTATATTGGAGAAAAGAATAGTGAAAAATCACAGTATCTTGTTGAGGTTGAACAATTATAATACCACTAACTACACTGTTTAAATATTCATGTTTATGAAAGACATTCATTATGTTCTTCATCTGGTAAGTTACTCTCGCTTATGCCTCATTCCAGTGTTCAGTCTCTGATAGAACACTGGAAAAAATCATAAAATATTTAAATATTCTCATTATGTTTTGGACAGCTTGTATTGACAGTGTATCCCATGCTTCATTTACAACAATGCTTACAATTTTTGCCACTTAGAGATGGCTGCAACTCTTCTGAGGCTGAAAGTATTTGTTACTAGGAGGTAAAATGAACCTTGCTGGGAGTACATAGATTTAAAACTAAAAGACCCTTGACTTCAGTGTAGGCTGTCACTTTTAAGCCTTGCACTGAACCATTTTTTTAACTAATAGGGTGGATAACAATGTTTAGACACACTGCATGGTGTTCAGTATAGTATAGAGCACCATCCAGCACAACACCTGCATGACAGTGACAGTGAAATAGGACCTTTGTACATTATGTTTTTCTAATCTCCTTGCTTGTGTCTTGTTCTGTCTCACACTCTGCAGTTTCCACCAATTACTGTACAAACCAAACAGGTACATCAGTAATTTCACACACACAGTAAGACACCTGTTCCTGAAAGTGTTATGGCATCTTTGAACTGCAGCTCTGGCATTGTTTGTGTATGTACCTGTGTTAGGCATCTGCTTCCCTAGTGAAAAAAGAAAAAAAGCCTCCTTGCAGAAGGGAGGGCATCAAGCTGTAATATCTGGATCATCTCTGTTTTTGTATTGAAATCCTTTCTGTAGGAAAAGCACATTATTTGAAATCAAACTAAAAAAATTGTATGTATGTTACCAGACAGAAGCCAGATACAGGAGCTCTGAGGTTTCCCTTTGGGCAAGCTCTTCAAATCTGAACTCTTCTCTGAATATTTTGAGGAAGGCTAAGATTTCCAGGTCATACCTATTTCCAAATTATTTCTAAAATCTGCCAGGAATACTCTGCATGCAG